AAAATAAAATAAATCAATTATAAATATAGCAAAATTTCTATTATTAATATGTACGTAGATATATATTACAGGTTTATTATTATAGGTTTTTGTTGTGATCACACAATCTAACAAAGTTCATCGTTAAAAATACCATTTTTTAAGACCTACTTATATACCACGATGGCGTGGTATAAAATAGGTTTGTTTTTTACTTTACTAATTTATAAACTGATTAAAACTCTTTAATAAAAGAAATTAACTAATTATAGCATAGTTTTCAATTTAATTAACTGTCTGTTATTTGTAATTGACTCAATTTTATAAAGTTCACGTGTATAAAAAGGTCACTCGCAGTTTTGAATTTTAAATTTATTTAGAGTTGATGTACCTCAGTGCCGGATTAAGCGAACGCCGGGCCGTAGCAAGTACTTTCAAAAGGCATTCGAGTCTGATTTAAAGTTAATTTTTATTATTGCCCATGCCAGTTCGAGGGGAAAGGTTTTTTTTTCTAACTAGTTTGCTCCCTCTGTGCTAGCGGTTTGACACACCGATTTATATTCGAAGTTCGGGGGTTCGATTCCTCGCACGGCACATTTGTATTAATGAATATTGTTTGTATTGGTCTGGGTATTTTCTATGTATATTATGTACACATATGTATTTACAAAAAAAATCTATCTATGTATTTGTATCACTTGTCTAGTACCCACAACACAAGCTCTGCTTAGCTTGGGCCTAGATGGCGCTGTGTGAAATTATCGCAAGCAGACAATGCACGAGGCTCGTAGTATTGTAGCTATTCTAGTTATTCCGTGGTATTCCTAACAATTGGCCATGGATAATTTGTATTAAGCAACTATTTAATTGCCTTAATCTAGTACTTGAAAATGTCACAATTAGCCATTTCGTAAATTAAAAAAATATGAAGCGTCTCTATTTCTAAGAACAATTCTATAATATAATCGTAAAACAATATTCCTGTACCTAATTAATAAACCTAAAACTTTTTTTCCTTCTAATTATCTTGTACTTATTCATTCCAATTTAACTACACATTAATTTGACCATTATGAAAGCGATTTTAAAATACATGTAATAAGGTAGAAAATCCTTTGGTGGATATTATACATGGAATTGTATAAACTACAAATTGATTTGTCCATTATAAAAGCTATTTTATACAATGTGTAATAAGGTAGAAAATTCTTTGTACGGTATTGAATTAATTTAGACACAAACTAAAGTTTACAAAGATAGTCAGCTAGTAATTGTTCCATACAAGATCACTCTTAATTAAACGAGCAGCTGATTGACGCGGTGTACTTTGATGTACGCCGGCATGCGCACGCGCACCTCTCTCATTGTTTTGTAGATCACGATGTACAAATAAATTAATGCTTCGTTAATAATAGAATTTGCACGATAATTAATTAACTTTGTATGTTATAATACAATAATAAGCTCTGTATTGAGCATAGATAATAAATAAAGATCAAAAACAGTATTAGAAAAATGCGTAACGTTGCAATCGTAATAAGCAAACTTTCATAGACAATCTACTACATTGGACTCTCTCTCTGTCCAACCCATTTTCCCAGTTTATCTAGGGCTGGGTCTCCCTGTACATCTGCGCTTGAGAACTCTGTTCTGAGTTTCTTCTTCTGTCTGTATAGTGAGGTTGTTCTGGTCCATCTGCTTCTTAATATTGTTCCACCAAATGGTGCGTGGTCTGCTCCTACCACTGGTCGAGTTTAGTATCTTGAGCACTTTTTTAACCACATAGTTGTCTTCGCGTCTTCGCTTCTACTAATTAAACGACTACATTAGACACTATATTTAATATATATAGCCGTATAGAAAAACATACATATTATAGGTAAGCATATATAATATGCTACATATTAGAAGGGAATAAGGGCAAAATTAGATTTTTTTTCAAATGCAATCGAGTTTATATATCTTTATTCATGTGGGTCTAATGTACTCTAACTGTTATAGTTAATAACATCTGTCAATACTTTTGTGGACTCCCGCGATACATGTTTGCCTAGTGAGAGGTCCAATGTATAGTTATATATAACTTTGTCGTATTAAAATAAATAAATAGATAATGAACTACTGATAGAAGTAATATTATAATAGATTTTATAAATACGGCAAATGATTCTATTCGACCGTGTGACCATAATTAACCATATATATAGAATAGTCCATATTTATCTCCATTTTGAAACTTACTACGTCGGTTTATTTATATACTAGATGTGCCCGCGACTTCGTCCGCGTAAATTGTCGATACTTCCATATAAGCTTTCATCTCCCCTTTCAACCACTTTAACCCTTTTTTTGGATTAAAAAGTAGTCTATGTCCTTTCTCAGGTTCCACATTATTTGTGTAACAAATTTCATTTAAATCGGTTCAGTAGTTTTGGCGTGAAGGCGAGACAGACATACATAGTTACTTTCGCGCTTATATAAGCTATCTGCGAATGAAAGTTCCGTCAGAGTCGACCCAGCCGTTTCAGAAATTAGGAATAACATACAAACAGACACTTCTACTTTATTTATTTGTATGTGTAGAATAAAAGGTGTAACATAGTGGTATATGTATATACAGAGTGTCCCGTAAGTTGTGGACCAACGGGTTATGGGGGTACTATAAAATAAAGTTTCAAAAGGTTACAATACATTTTTTTTATACCAGCTTTGTTCAAATTTCAGTTAAAAAAAGTATTTTTGTTAAATAATAGGTCTGACTACCCTCCATAACCTGTTGGTCTACTTACGGGACACTTTATATACTTAGTATACGTTTAAAATTTATATACTGTCGTAGATTAAAAATATATTCCTGTATTTTAAATGTAATTACTATTATAACGTTAATATTAGGTACTTACTCGTGTCGCCGTAAAGCTGGGGTTTCTAGGCGGTATGTGCTTCCCACCATGCAATGCCCTTGGAAATCCCAAACGTGCTGGTGACCACCAACATCGACCATCGACACCGCAGCATTCTACGTCGTTATATTTTTTACTACTACTTATATTTTTGTGATATATTTATAATTAATAACAATCTTCATGTTTTAGTACTATTTATGTGGTTGTGTGACTGTCACACAAATTGGTTGTGTGTATTTATAAATGCATTTTTTAATGGTTGTTCTATAAAATAAACATTTTATAGAACCAGCGAGACAGAGTCACTGCAGTGAAGGAAGTCACAGGAGCGGGTAAGACAGATATCTTGAGACAAAAGTTACCTAAAATCTATCATTTTTGAAAACCCCTTTTTTAATCAAGTATAAAATATTTAAATAAACCGGAGACGGTTTATAAGAAAAGAAAGGTAAGAATATCACACACCCCCTCGTCATCCATTCTTACACTAAAAGTACATAGTGTATTTTTTTTATTTATTTCCGGCTACTATGGCCCATATTATAAATACCTTATAGACGTTAGTCGAAGGTACTCGTACATATATAATAATAATAATATAAATAAGTATAAAAAGATATCGTGTCTATGGCCACGGTACAGACGACAGCAATCTGCCGATGTAGCGCCGATACACCACCCCCTTCGGCGAGTAGTCCTCCTAAAATGGACATGTCAAGTGTTGCGTTCACCATGGCGTAAAAAAATTAGTTTAAATATTATTGAATTGCAATGTTATTTTAAATGTTTGTTTTGTTTCATTTAGTTTTTTTTTTTCATTTTCACATTAATATGATTTTGAATTCATTAATTTATTTATTTATTTATTTATATAACCTTAATGCACAAAATACCAAGGTAAAATGGACATGTCAAACCATAGTGGTGCAAATATAATTAATAAAAACAATAGGTCAAAAAAAAAATATATACATATACTAAAAGTAAATACATGTAAACACATGCACATACGTACACAAATACATATATATATATATATATATATATATATACATATAATATATATCAATCTATAAATAAATATAAAATAAAATATATAAATCAAATATACCATATACATATCATATAACATAGTCTGACAATGAAAAAGTGAAAACAGGGAGTGAACGTAACAAAAGATAGGAAATAGATACGAAAGAAAGAAAGAAAAAAAAAAGATCAATTATAACTTAGAAAATGTACACACTAAAGAGCAATATATAAGATAATATACATTCCGTTTATATAATAGAAAGGTTACATTAATAATATTCTCGATTTACGTTTTAAAGAAAATCTACATATCAATTTATTTGATAGCCTGAACGGCGAAAGAATAGTGGACGAAACTAATAGTAATAATAGTAGTAATAGTGGACAATTTATTGTTATTGTAGTACACATTATACGGTTTAATTTTATTTTCAATTAGTAATACTTTAAATTATGCACGGACTGTATCTGTGGAAATAAATAAATAGAAATCAAATGACAGTGCCTGTGCGTTTTGGCGGGTGGGTTTCCCCTCTGGCCCGGTTCCCCCTCCTTAGTGAACCTGCACCCCCCAGACTCCTCTGGGGGGTCCATAATACCGGGCTTAGTGTGGACGTCCAGTCAACATGGGCCACTCAGCACCAGGACTCCCGACCTCAAACTATCCTCCAGTTCCAACCTCCGACTAGCCGGATTACAGGTGACGCCACGCTCCCGGTACAGTACCTCTGCCTACCCCAACCGGCATATTAATCGTGACGGTGAAATAAAATCTAGTACACCGATAGTCTAGACCCTGGGAAAGGATATAGGCTACTTTTTACTCCGCTTTCAACCCCTTACAACCCTTTTTCTCACAAAAGTAACGTCATTTTTTAAGTAAAACGAAACTTTTGGATTATAATCTAACGAAATATATTTTATTTATTTAGTCAAGGTCATTATTCCACGCGGACTAATTCGCCGGTACAGCTAGTAATGAAATAAGCAGTCAAATGACTGTGCCTCTGCCTACCCCAACCAGGATATTAATCGTGAGGGTATGATATTTGGAAATAATACAACTTGTACATTGAAGTCAACATTTATTGTTTACGCCCAACTATCGCTCTCCTTGAAGACAGCGACGCATTGTGCGGGTGCGGCCGCGTCGCCGTTGGCGCGGTCGCTATCGCTCGGCCACGTGACGTTTTTTCTTTCTTCTTCCTTCTCTTCTGTCTCATTTGTAGCCTGTTAGATTTAATTTCCATTTTAGAACGACAACTACATAATAGTCTTCTATTTTTTTATAGAAACTAGCCGATGACCCATCTCATGTTATGCAGTAACCATAGCCTATTTACATATTTTAATTTGGCCGAGCAATGGTTTAGTTCTGGTACGCCCTGGGCGGGATTGTAGTAGTTCTTTCGGGATATTGCTAATATATCGGCCGATAGTCCGGCTAAGGGGGGTGGCGCAGGCTGGGACAATAGGCCCAGGTGGGGCCTGTCCCGGCTGTCAAGTGTCGCGTTGGTGGCCCGCTCCTGCTATGACTCTACTCTTGTAGAGACACGTGCGGAGCGGGCGCGGCTCTGTATGGGCGACAGTCTCAGGGGTTCAAGTCTACCGTCTACATTACCGGAGCCGAGATGGGGGGGAGGCGCATCCCGTATTCCGGTGCGTCTTCCCCACGGTGGGCGGAGGCAGGGGAACTGGAAAGAGTTCCTCCCAGTTCGCTTGCGGGCAACCGCCGCGGTTGATTGCCAGCTGGCCGCGACCGCGACCCTGGCACTATGGCGGCGAGGAGGAATATCGTGGGGTTTTTGGTGAGTAGGAGTCACACAGTACCCGTCCGTCCAACCCCTGAGACGGCCGGGTCTCCACGAGAAATTTTTCCCCACGTAAAAAAAAATAAAAAGAACGCGAGAGGTTAGGCAAGGTTCAGCTCTTTCACTTATCTATTTTAGCCAAAAAGCAGCTTCTTTACTAGCTATGTTACGATGAGAGAATGATATGTGGCAGTGAAATTCCAGGGTACGAAGGCTATAAGATCTTAGTCCTCCTTAATAGCAATGCATGAGGTATCATATGATGATGTCCTTGGCGCCCTTCATATATAGGCGATGGTTACCACTTACTACCAGGTGATCCGTCATTATGCTAATTTGCCATTCGAAATACATTAAAAATGGCACATACCTGACTCGGCGATTTTTCTTTCTTTTCGTTTAAACTTGTACTTCTCAACCTCTTTTTTGGCGATGGTTCTTCAGCTTGACCAACCTATAAATAAAACATATTAATATATAGGTACGTATATATTCTCCTTATAGTAAAGATGGAGTATTAAAATAAAATATTTCTTTGAGAGCGTAGTGGCTTAGTGGATTACTACTCTGAATTATGTCCAACTTAATTTCGCCAAAGTTCAAATCAGGCCAACAGTAAAAAATCTTTATATATCAATTCATATTTCTTACTACCTCTCCAATGAAGTAAACTGCGATTACGAACCAGAAATTAATCCGAAAGACGACCATAGCTCGCACTCTGCCAGGTTGGATTCAAATATACCCTGCGCAATGTGGACATGTCAAGTTTTGCGTTCTCCATGACGTTGAATGATTGACAATGCCTCTGACACTCCATCTGGGATATGTCGTGACGATGTTTGTACATATGTTGTAACTTTAATCCCAGATGGACTTGTCAGTACTTTTTTAATTGGTGATAATGGAATGGTGCCTCGCCTGTGCTAACAAATATTTCAAGTAAAATACAAAAAGCTTTATTAAAACCAGTATTTAAATACAAAATGGAGATTGGTTTCTTGTATTTGAAATAAAATACTGGTCACATCTCTGCTGGCCTGATACTAGTGAAAGATAAGCATCATGTCAGGTTAGTTAGCTGCTTTGTTTTGCCTTGCCTTGCCTTGCCTGCAGCGGCGTACGCTGTTTCACGCGCAAATCTGCTTTCACGCGAAAAAGAGTATGCAAGTAAAGACAGACAAAGAAACCGAGAATAAGCGCGCGAGCGCGATCCGCACGCGCATACTTTCGTACTTCAATCGTTCGTGATTTTTATTATAAATAGTTATCTCTGTAAAATAGCGGACATCTAACAATAGAGCAAATTATAGATTTTGTGATAATTAATAAATTTTAAATTGTGTCTACGGAAAATAGAAGTCGGATAATATTAACAATGAATTTTTAAAAAATGCATGTGTGCATTCGCACTTTTTATAATAAATAATCATCAGACCTAAACATGCAGGAAACATCTAATTACAGATTTGTTGATAATTTATCAATTTAAATGGTGTCTACGGAAAATAAAATTAGAATAATATTAAAATTCATATTTTTAAAAATGAATAGATACATGAAAAGACGACGCAATCGGGCGTAAAAAAATTAATACAAAAATACGATACGAAGAATCACTCAAGTATGCGCGCGCTTGCTTCCGTTAAATCGTGCGATGCTAAGCGCGTGTGAAATAAAATGTCGTATAAAGGCTATTGTCGATAATTCACCAGAAATTTTAACGGTTTTCAGGGGGCTTGCGTTACCAACAATACGCTCCATATAGTCTGAGGCATTAACAAAATGTCTAAGTTCTAGTGAAACCAACACTTGACATGTCCACATTTTAATTTTCAAATTCCCATATTTCTACTTCTTATGTATGTTATATTTTTACCACTACTCCTACCTTGCAAAGACCTAAACGACCTAAAGACCTAAAGAACGTCGCCACTTACTTCACAAATAAAAAAAAGTGCAGCTACCTACTTTAGTTAAGAAGAATTGGAAAATCAACTTGTACATTTTTCGCCTATTTTTTAAGTCAATTTTTAGATATTACAATTTCAATTAGTATATCTAAAACCAACGATCCTCACGGATTCTTTCGGAATTTTGTTTATTGATTTTACCATTAACGGAGAATCAGACATAATTTTAAATTGACACATTGTTTTGTGTCGTCCAGATACAAAATGACAATTATTGGTTATAAGACGCGGTAGTAATCACTAGACCATAATGCTCCTGACTAAATTTCTAATTTAAATATACCTCGCAATTCGGTACTTCTTCCTTCTTTTCTTTGTTGTCTGTCTTTATTGTAATCTTCAGTCGGCTCTTTTTTATCACTGGCTCGGTTTCCTCTGGCTATATGATTTAAAACAAATATATTAACTTAAAAAGATCTATATATTTTTTAAATTACTGTATCTAGCCTATGGTTAGTATAAATCTATACATATATATAGGGTTTTCCAGAACCTTCGATTGTATCAAGAGCTCCGCATTGACGTAAGGAGTACCAGAGTTGCCAGATTATGCAGGTCACATGTTTTTGGTCTCATTTATTGAAATTCTTCAACATAATAATAACCCAGAACAATTCTTCATAGAGCGCCATATAACTCCAATATAAATAAATGCACTATGGGTACCAAACATCTGAAAGAAATACTTAAATACATTTTTTTGTTAATCCATTCATAATATATGAATACAAATATTACGCGGAATCGAATCCATGACCATCGGAAGGCGGTGTACTGAACCGCAAGACACCGAATAAGGCAACGTAAAGCTGACCAAATAGATTGGTGACAATTTGAGCAAAAAATTTATTATTTATAGAAGAATTTTAGAGCAGACTGTGGAAGTCACAAAGGTACACATCCTAATGGTGAGATAATTTACAAGTCAATTGAACAAATAAAAATAAAAATAAATTTTTTAAAACCTTTAGAACTATGCGGCAACGTACTTAATGAATATACTATGACAATATAATAAAAACATCTAATATTATTTTTTAATTTTTTCATTACTTGGTGAAACTGTTTCATTTACGTGATTATTTTACGTTTGTTTTGGGCGGGAAAGCGATTGTTAGTAATGTGAACTAATAACAACATTGCTATAGACCTCATTGTACCATGTGACGTTGACCTCCACGCGGTTCCCCCTGAAAACCATCGTGATAATTCCTGATGAAAGATTCCTGGTGAATTCGTCACTATGGGCTAACTGACTTGACCTCATCCTCTTATCATTCTCCACTGGTGTCCCGCCAGCGTATACCGTTAGCGCAGGCGAGTGCACCATTCCATTATCATTCAAAATTGGCTTAGCGATACCTTACTATACATTGATAGCTTTTACGATATACCTTGTATTGCGTAAAACTAAGATTATTTAAAATTTCGAGATTCCTGTATAATTAAAATATAATATAATTAAATATAATAAAGTAAAATATTGCTGTATATGTAATAAAAAAAAATTAAAATACTAATTTCTTACCTCTGATGTCGAATTCTTCTTGTGTCGAATACTCACGCTGTTCTTTACCTGTTCTTCTTTCACTTTCAATTCTGTAACAATACGGCTATTTGTTACCTTATTCATTCATTCCCAATAATTTTATATGAAAGATAGAATAAATGACGAAAAATATAAAATTAATACCTTGCTGTACTGGCTGTAATGGCTCAGGTTTGTTTCTGAAACAAATGAAAAATAATATTCAATAAATATTTTGAATGTAACATTACTTGGAACTAGTGATCGCCCGATGGTCGAAATTCGACGATAATTTTAATTATAAGTTTGAACTAAGCAAATAAGCAAAACAATTAAGGTTTTATTGTCAAAGACTATACTTCTATCCGTGTGTGTCAAATATATGGTAGTGTGTAATATTGTTTTATTGATTTATTGTGTGTTTAATGTATTATTTAAAAAATACATTAACATTCTGTATTCCTTCTCTTTATCTTATATATAAAATTCTCGTGTCACAGTTTTCGTTCCCATACTCCTCCGAAACGGCTTGACCGATTCTCATGAAATTTTGTGAGCGTATTGAGTACAGAATCATTATTTTTCATCCCCCTAAATGTTATTCATAAGTTTTTTTTTTTTTTTTATTTTAAGTGAAAACAACGTCGCCGGGACAGCTGTTATAATTGTATCGGTTCCTGAATATTTGTATTCATGTATATTTGTATGGATGTCTGTCTGTATGTCTGAATATTTACGAAAAATATATATATCTATGTATTTATATCAGTTGTCTAGTAACCCATAACACAAGCTTAACTTGGGTCAGATGGCGCTGTGTATATAATAATAATCTAATTATCCTATTAGATTATTATTAATAATAAATGTACATTCAAAGTCAATAATTATAATGCGAAACATGCAGTTGTGACTTAAGATAATATAATATGATTTATTAATTTCTCCTCACAAACATGATGGTAACAATACGTGTAGTATTCTTTATTGTAAAATACTTAAATTTATTATTTGAATCGATTTGCTGTGAGGAGCTGGTGTTTGAGATAGGCATAACCTGTAATACAGATCACCAGATCAAGATAAAACTACCAACTTCAATTAAGTGTGAGATTTGATAAAAAAAAAAACACCTATCTCAATACTTTGTCCCAGTTTAATTGGGACTAATTGTAGGGACGTGCGACACTAGCGCCTCGCATTCACCTGTCGCAACACGACACGACACTTAACGCCAAATTGCTCAGACACGGTCACGACCACGGGACTGGGCAACAGTGTCCAGTCTGCACTCGTTTTAAATCCATTTTTTTTTTCGTGAGACTAACGAACTAAATTGTTTCATGGAGCCGGAAGAAACATTTTAAAAAAAATTTAAAAGTTTGACAACATTTTTAAAATACTTTTTTGGGTAAACCTTTCAGAAAAGAAAAGAACGTAAACCTTTCAAACTTATTTGAGTAAACCTTTCATAAGAGAAGAGACTACAGAAAATGAAAAAAGTCTCACCTACATCTGGCGCTAAGAAGCCTTTGAATTTCATGCATACCATATACCCTATTGTCTCCAAATCATCCATAGATGGTACTGAGAAGAATTGTTAACAGTGCAAATATAATGATTGCATTTTGCAATAAAATAAAAACAAAACCCAAAATATATATATGTATACAAAAATAAGGAATAACTATACTAAAGTTTTATTACAAAGAGGTAGCTAAAGTTTTAAATGTTCCTGATAATCTCCGGTACTACACACCTGATTTTGGAATTTCTTTTAGTGTTACATAGCCCATTTCTCAATAAAAGCTAGGTATAGGATAACATCACGCCACGACCAATAGGAGCGGAGCTGCAATGAATAATATTGCACTAACAGCTAGCTTGCAGCTAACTACAGACCACAGTGGTTTCTCACCATCAGATATACCGACTACTTTACCATTCTAAATCCCATAAGAAATCCATAAATACATATAAATGAGAAATATCCATCATCGCGTTATTGCTCCGGCAGTTTCAAAGTATTGATAACAAGCGTCCGCCTGCGCTATACCTTTCAATATTTATAAGTGGCTCACATGTTACTCTTCATTAAAGTGACTAATGTCAGATGAAATGCACGTGGCGTACGCTATTTATCAAATACATCCTACCATATAAGGCGTGCGGCGCGCCTTCGCAGATGACACTTATTTAAAGCAACATCTGATTGACTTGTAACGCGGCAGTTTTTGTACAGCGCCACTAATAAGCTCTGTTCCCGCCATTACATTGTGCATACAATTTAGGTGTGCACTTGGTTATTTTACCTATTTCATTTCTAATTTTATCTGTGAACATTTTTTTTATATTTAACTGGATTTTACTTACTACTCCATTTTTCTTTTCTAAGTTGCTCTGTACCTAGTTTCTTTGTAACTGGTATGGCAAAAGAAATGATGGCCACCCATGTAAATAGCAACCGTCGCCTATATCCATTAACTACCGACCCGTCCAGCTTCGCACGTATGCAGTACAAATCTTTGAATATCTCGGCTTGTCCTATAATATAACACGCATGTATTATGCTTATATACAATCTTCTTGAATCACTCTATCTATTGCTGAAAACTGCAATAAAATCTGTTACGTAATTTAAAAGCGAACAGACAGCTGTGGCGATTTTGTTTTTGGGCACCGTGTTATTATATGACCCCGTTGGAACGGTGACTCACATAAGTCACTAAAATGTACTCTTAATTACGGGGTAAGTATGAGTATATTTTAGTGACTTCTGAAAAATCTTTATTTATATAATACCCTAAATACCCCGTAATTTCACAGCTATATCTCACACTACTTTACAAGACTCTACAAGATATGTTATTCGATATATTCGGTTGGTAGAGAATGCTAAAAGCATGAAACCGGCATATTATACAAAAATTCAATAAAGTTTAAAAAAAGAAAGAAAGAAATAAGCATGCGTATTGTAGTGGGTATCTTCCTACAAAATTCGCTACACTTCATTCAATACTATACTACAATAATGAAGTTACGACCCATGTATTGATATTTAAATAAAAAAAAATAACTATTATATTTCGATATCCTCTAAACAATTCCAGCTCATCATAGCTGAGTACATTTGAACACCGTGACCTCACATCAACCTAACATTGTGAGCCGGCCAACGCTTCCTGATGTCCATTATACGCTATTTTTAGCGCACTTTCACCGCTTAAATCTAAAGCTCGAGTCAGGAAAGGCCCTAAAAGGGGAAATATGGGAGTTGTCGGTTGTAACCTGATCTGAAGTTACGTCGGTTTCGGCTATGTTAACGTTTACGATGACTCTGTAAATCGCTACCAGTATTTATCGTTTGTCCGCCATTCGACGACAAGTCGATGGTGGGTAAAGCAGCCGTGCGTGCGAGGCTTACATGCCGACATTGTACATTATTGCAAATACAAAATAAATATATTAGGGAATATTAAGATCCGGCCCATCAAAGACTCACCGAGACAAGTTTAAGGTGGTATGGCTATATAATAATACAAGAGAGTCATGACAAAAAAGTCCTAAACTTTGACACCGGCCCAAAGAGACGAGGAAAACCCCTACTAACTTGGCAGACCATTATCAATACGGAGCTAAAGAAACGGAAATAAACGACTCGACGACCCAGTACAGACGTGCCTGGCGAAGAAAGACCAGAAAAGTCGACCTTGGGGTCACCTCTCCTGGTAACATGGGAAATGGCTAGGCAGAGAGAGAGCATAATAAATATATTAAATCACTAGCGAGCCGTCTCGTCTTGCAAATGCCCATTGATGAATAACTTTTAAAATCAGTTAAGTATTTTATGCCTTTATCAAATAAACAATATGGGATGGAATCTTGTTAACATAAGCCATCAAGTATGGTTATTATTTTAAAGTGAGCGGCATGTAAGCCTAGCACATAAGCGAGTCTCCCAATCGGTCTTGTACCGCGACACCGAGTCGCGTCGCGTCGCCGCGCCGCAGTGTCGCTACGCGTTCGTACGCAACTTATTTATTTTTAAGCAAGGTAAAAAGGAAGCCAAGGCACTTTGTCATTCTGCTTACAATAAACCGGAATAAATTACCTACAAGACATTCTTATAAGACGGGTAAAATATAGCTTTATAAAGTTTATATAAATTTAATAAGCAATTAAGAAGATATCGCCAACGTGTTCTGTTACCGATTCTCATCAACGCATCATACTGCCCACCTGCGGTAATAGTTCGTTTCCAATAAGCATCTTTCCGATTTTTTCTTTTCAATCGGCTTTTACATGTTGTAGCGTAATGTTAATTAAGCCCAAGAATTTCGCTATATATTAAAAAAATGTCAAATCTGTCTAGTACAATAATCCACATAATATAATAATAACAGTACGTTCCAACAGCCAAATAAACTCTTTAGCTTTACATTATTATAAATGTCATTCCTCACTTGTATTTTCGTAGCTACAGATATAAACTTGACTGTTTTAAAATGCAAAATACATGAATCGTCCCTAATATGGATACCGGGCTTCAATCTCTAGCATTATGTCTCTTGTCGCGCGACACGTCCATTTCACACAGTCGAGGTACTGTCCCGTGATGCGACAGTGTCGACAGCGACGCGCGACGCCCGACGCCGACTGAAAGCGGCCCCAAATACGTAAACCTCATGTCCCCGCTCACAATTTGCCCCGGACGCGTCACTCAGTGTAATTGGCCGTTACCGCCATTAACTAATGAGATCGGACGATAGCATCTTGTCGGCAATCGGCGGCTGTGCAAAGCGATACTTCGAATACAGAGATATAAATCGCATAGAAGATACGAGGAACGTTGGGTAGATCAATTCTAGTTTCTGAAACTATTTAACACCCAACAAACCAAGATGTTTTTAACATTCTTGACGTTCCAAAAAATAATGTTATTCAAATAAATTTAAATTTAATAACTGTATTAAAATAATCTGTGAAGTTTTTTTTTTAATATTATAGCGTGATGTAGTCACCCTCAAACACTGGCGACAATCAGGTGATGAGGTGTAGTAAATTGCATTTGTGTTGCTGGTCTTTTAGGAGAAAGACGGAGTAGGTAGATAAACATTAGAATAAAGAATAGAAGGGAAGAGGATAGGCATTTGGGCACTTTCCATGCGAAATGTAACCTTGAGTTTTTGAGATTAAGAAA